GACCTTTGCTGAGCAGAACGGCATGCTGTTTGCTGATTCGCTTCAGATTACCTCACTTAGCGGAAAGACGGCAAAACTGGAACTACAATGCATGAATGATGTCTTGCTGAGTATTACCGTGGAGAACGCATCTAAATCGTTGCTCTCCCCCTCACTGTGCCAACGAGATAACTCTCAACTCAGTGAGTTCACAGGCTATTTGCTTAATAAGTTAGCGAGAGAGGTGCTGCTCTCAATTTTTTCAGTCAGGTAGTAGAAAGTGCGGATAGGATAATAATAGTAACATATGTTCTGAAAAATTACAGCAATTACTAAAATAGTGGTAATAATCAATCAAAATATAAACTGCAATCATAACAATATTGGCAACATAACAACATAGTGATAATATTAATAACAGTAACAATAATAATAACAATGACAATAAGGACAATAACATCGACAACAATAATAACGACAATTATAATTACAATAATAATCGTGTCAATGGCAATAATAACAATAACAATGATGATTGTAATTATAATAACCGTGACAATATAAAGTAGTTCAGGGGATTATTGTAGAATTTCGGATTGTTATGCATTTCGACTAATATACCATATAACGCGCAAATGATATACTGAATTTGAAGCTTCTTGTTTTTGTTAATCCGTAATTACGTGGGACAATGAACAATTACCCGCCATTATAGTTTTAATTAAATATGCTTACTTCCTCTGCAGGGAGTTGAGTCTTAAATTTCTTCCCCGCTAGGGACTCCGGGTGTTTTATTCTATACTCTAGCGTTTGGTCTGCTACTCAGAATGGTGGATCCAGATCTCACTTTCTCATGGAGGCAAGTGCTGATCCTACCTCTTGTACAAGCCGGGACGAAGGTGTGAATACTTTTTCATCCTGCTTGCCATAAATAATTTTTGCGACAAAATTAATTCTACAGTTCATTGATTCTTTCCGACAAGACTGACACTTGCTAGTGGATCTTAACTGCTATCAGCTGTTTTTTTTGCGCAATCTCCGGACGAGCAAGCCATCGATGGCTTATCGATTGGATGATTGCTTTTGCCAAAGTGCTACCTTTCAAACTCATCCTGGTTATCTTCATTTTCATAAAAAACTCAATAGGGAGAGCACCATGATTTTCAAGCACAGGAATCACATACTTTTCAATACATGATGAATTTAAATTTATTTCTCTTCCCATCTTTTCTTTTATCTTCAGTTTCAGTTCTCTTAAACTGATGTCACTCTTACAGTTTGTTGTTTATTTTCTATTTTAACTGATGTTGCATCATTCGGCTGCTGATCAAGCATAACTTTGTTAGCGGTGCCTTTGTCCCAAATTCTATTAAAAGCGCCAAAAAAACCCAGACCAAATCACTGATCACTAATTTACATTATTCACTGCCACTAATCACTGCTATGGAATCTGCTGGA